AAAAAAAAAAAAAGCCCTGGTCCGAATTCCCGAATTCCTGCCCCACCCTCTCCAGCGTTGGATTAGACGGCAGATGGCTCGTGTGGTTTCGTTAAAGGAGCAGCAATGTTGTAAAGTTTTTACTCGGTGCCTTTCAAAGGCTGCGATGGGGGGAATGGGCTGCGGGAAGCATGTCCTGGCCTCGGGCTGCAAGGGCGAGCGAAAGTGACCACCAGGAGGAATTGCTTCAGTGGGCTTGCGTTATTGGGAAATGAGAATTAGACCTTTCGTTCTTTCTTTGCTTCCTGAGTGGAACTGGAGGTAAACAAATGGACCTGTGGAGGCGTAAGATCGCTATTGACCTCTTAAGTTTAAAAGCTGGTTCTTGATTAACTTATCAAAAAATAAGCTATTGATTAGGTAATCAATAGGTTTGGCCTACAGTGTTTTCAGAAATTTTCCTTAAGTGCAGACTGCTAATGAGCTGATGTAACCTGGGTTTTGATTTATGGAAATAAGAAGCAGAATTTGGATTTTCTGCTAGTGATGGTATTTTTTTTTTTTTAAAGTTTGTTTACTAGGTTTTAACATATTTGCATTTTAAAAGGCTGTAATTGCTAGATCCTGTATTAACTCAGCGTTATTCTCTGAAGTAGCCTATGAGAATATGCTAAAATAATTTTGAAATCTGGCATTCAGTTATGATGCCCCAGTAAAGAACACTGTTGGAAATATTCCAAAATACCAATGCACTAGACTGAAAAAATAGATCAGAACAGGAAAAGATTTCTTTCCTTTGAGGGAGCGTGGGGAAAGACAGGGAGGTGTGAGAGGAAAAGTTACATTGTATGCTTATCTCTTCAGTTACCTGTTGACCATTCAACTTGCTTGATCTGCTGAATATATTTACTTTCAAGGAGGGTGAAATTATTTGCATGGTTGTAGCCGTCTTCATCTGAACGTGTTCCAACTGTTTAAGGGTTTTTAAGGGTATTTTTGATTGAGTTGGTAAGAGTTATGAAGAAACTGCAGCGTGAGGATTTGGGTTTTCTCAGAGGCAATATGTCATGTTTTCATTGTTTTCCAACAGAAAAGGTCCAAGATTTTACATGAAGACCTTCTCACGTTAATCCAAATGCTGGATTGTATCTATAATCAAATCACTTTAACTTAAATCCAGCTTGCGTTGTCTTCTGAATGGCTACTGTACTGGCCTGAGACTTGAAAGATCTGTACTTGCTTCCTGCTTCTTGCACAGATCTTTGTGTGGTCTTCTACAAGTCTTACTGCCTCTGTGTGGCTTAGCATCCCATCGGTATAATGGAAAATGCTGTTTTTCTTGAATATTTCTCCGTTTATTGAAGTGTGTATATGGTGTCCATCCCAACACTACTATAATATGAGTAACTTTAACTTTCTTTAAAGTGAGTGGATTTGGCAGGTGTAAAACATAAAATGCATAGAGAGTTTACAAAGGAAGAACAGAATCAAGATTTAAAAATTATTATTATAATTATTATTATTTTGAGAAAAAGGCTAATAGATTATTAAAATAAAGAGCCTGTAATGTGTGAATTTTGCCTATTGTGCAAATTGGTCTGCAGATGTTTAGGGAGACTATACACTGATTCTCTGCCTTTTATCTGGCTTTAATACCTATAACGTGTATACGTTCTCTTAGTTTGAATTGGCTTCTGGCTCTGTGCCAAGAGTCTCATGAGCGAGTTCTGACACTTATGTGCAACCCCACAGCCGAGAGCTGTGTTGGCAGGTGATAGCTGCCCTGCTTGCAGTGCACTGTGAGGTTGGAATTTGGCTGCCTGTTAAACGTTTAACTTGTATGTTGAAGGAAACAACTGTCTGACATGAATGGATTGGAAATACTCAGTCAAAAATACTGATCAGAAGTAACTCCTACTGATGCAGAAATGCAATTTGGATACCTGCCATATGTGGTGGTTGTGTACAGTCTACTGAGATGCCTCATGGACTTTCTAGTGCTTTGTAAAGAATCTTAAATTTTATTTACCGTTAAACTGTTGATTTCTACATTTTTACCTAAGATAGTTTAATTTCTCATGATGAAGGATGAATTCTGCTGTTCTTCTATGTGTACCCAAATAAAATGTCTATATAAACAGACTCAGAATTGCTGAGTAGTTGCTGTTTGTACTTGGATTAATGCCTCAGCAGGGTTAGAGATGTCAAATGGTTTGTTGGTTTTCTTTGTGTAGCTTGGTTTTACATAGCTCAACTGGATTTTTCTTTCAGAGCAACCATGTCATCGCAAAAATGATTTCACTTGTTAAGGTGATTAGTTGGTCTTTTGCTACCATATTGCATTGTTTAATATTTTGTTTAGAATTACCTTTCCCTTTTTAACCTTTTATCTTTTTATATGGAACTTTCCTTTATATGGACTTTCCTTTTTTTAGCTGAATGAAAGTACAAGTTTGTACTGCACTTTGGAATAAGAATAAGTTGCTTTCTAAAGCAAGTTTTGTTTTCATGACTGCTTTCTTAATTGAGCTGAAGCCAAGAAGCTGTAGTTCAGGAAGGAAAAAGGAGGGGGGGGGGGGAAAGATTTCAGGACCATGCTCTCTATTTGCTTTGTACTCACAGTTATAATTTTAAATGTAATAACAGATTTTTCTAAAGTAAAATTAGATAGCGCACTCATAATCATAACGTTATAAGAACTGTTTTTGGAAGAATACCCAAGATTAGGAAAATGAGTTTTACTAGCTTTGTCTATTTTACAAGTATGGATTTGTTTTTTAGTTGAATCTAAGTTCAGATACATGCTGTTGATCAATCTCTAATTGTATATGTTCTAACTTTAAGCTTCTGAATGATTTTTACATGAGCAAGTAGTGACAGTTTTACAAGTGGTGGAAAAAAAGTAAAATCCAGACAGTGCTATCATTTGTCCAAATTAATCTGCTGTACTGGTGATAAAGCAGCACATTATAACGCGAAGTTAGAGCAGGGTTTCTAACTCCCTCTTCTAACAACTAGATCACGCTGCATTCTTACCTTAACAAAGAAAGCTACAAAATAGTAGTTAATACAATTTGTTACAATTTGATACATTTGTTTTTGTAAGCAGTAGCCCTGTCATTTCCCGTAGGCCAACGATTTTTAGGGTTCGAAACTAACCAAGAAGGAACAGAACTTAGAAAAACCTAACAACCTGAATCTGAAAGGCACTGGAAAATCTTCATCAATTGAAGTAATATTGGACAGTTTAGAAAGGAACAGTCTTCATTAGCTAGTATCAGGTATATCTATGCTGGTGCTGGCAAAGTTTCTGTAAGTTGATTGTTGGGCTTAATAACGTTAACACTTGTTTTACTATTATCGGTAGCAGTAATTCCCTGTGTGTATGCGAATACACATATGCTTGTTTTACTATTATCGGTAGCAGTAATTCCTTTTGTGTATGCCAATACACATATGCCAATGTATATGTGTATTTGTGTGTTGTTTTAGTTCCCTCTCCTGTCTTCTATCCCCTTCTTCTTCCAAACTGGTATGAGTTTCCCTTTCCCCCTCAGAAAGGAATGGACAACATCTCGTCTTTCTGGGAACACTGTGATTTTTTTTGTCTGTCTTCATCTATGGATCTGAATTTCCTTTCTTGTACTGAATTATTTCTGAAGTAATTATTC